TGCTGACAGCTCTGGATCTGAGGTGGGGGGAGGGGGGGGAGACAGGGCTGGGAGAGAGGGGTTGCTTCTTGGCTGCAGTAAGGTTCAATTCCACCTCACCAACCCTCCACCCAACAGGTGAACATCTGTTGGGTTGGGGGGAGGATGCTGTAAGTCATGGTGCTTTATGTAAAGTGCCATGAGTTACAGCAGGGACCTGTGTGTCTGTCAGTACCTACAGAGTCTGATTATTGTAAATCAGAAAGGGAAACTTGATAATAAAAAAATCCTGCCTTGCTCTTATGCAATGTAAAGAAGATGCTCATTAAAATCTCCATTCATTGACCCTTACTCACCTGACTCCATCAATCTCAGAGCTACAAGACTGAAGTCTAGTAAAGTATCTGAATTATCACATCAATTTCACTCTTCTCTTCCTAAATGGAGGATCACTGCCAAAAAGCAATACTAAAAGTGTATTTGGTGAAGCAAAAATTCCAAGCCTGTTCTGCTGGTGTGTGTGTGTGTGTGTGGTCTATTATAAATCTTTCTTTTTTTGTTTTTACAAGTGTCATCAAGAAGACCAGGCCAGTGTCTTGCTTCCCTGAGCCAAATCAGCGGTGTGGAACTGATGAGAGCCTCATTGGTGCTAGCATACGATATGCTCTGAAGAGCCCCATCAACATAGTTTTCTCTCCTTTTCGTGGACCTAGTCAATGAAGAGTGAGCTACAAATCTGCACCAGCTAAATCCAAATCCAAAGAACATTCTGTCCCTGAAATCTTTCTCTCTGAAGTCCTAAAGCACCTTAACAATTACTATGGTTATCTGGTTGTGATCTAGCCCTCTGCCAGTAATATGTGTTGCCAGTGAGCCAATGGTGAAACACATTTCCCCCTGACAACATAAGCAGTCATCTGTTCCCAAAGGCTGGCAGCTGGTAACACTAGAGTTATGTTGTGTCCTTTCTATACATCATGCTCTTGACACATCATCTCCAAGAATGTAGGACTTCTCTTTTTGTCAACAAAGATGTTCCACCTCCTTAGGTATCAAAGGAAAAATAGCTTTGTACCCTGTAGTTCTGCATTCCTTCCAAATTGTAGCTTGGATCCCAGGGACAAAAAAATTGGTTATTTATCCCTGTCTTTGGAGAACATTGTGCTACATCACACCATTGCCAGAAGAGTTTGGTGTGATTTCCTACAGTCTTTTCTCAAGAAGATTTGGAGGACTTCCGTAACATTAGGAGGGCACAGACTGAGGGAAGTTCAGTGGGAAAGCTATGGGAATGCTTATTACTGTCTCTGATTTGCTAGCCGGCGCTATTAGTCCTCATCTTTCATGAGCACCACATTTGATACACTTTGTTTTCTGCTTTCCCAAAATTTACTTAACTTTCTTTACAGACTTCTTGTACTCTACCTCACCAGACACACTGATTGGTAGGCCTCTCAAACAAATGCCAACTCCTGCAGAACTTTCATTGGTTTTGATGGAGGCTCTGGTTGAGTTGGGGCTATAGGATGAGGCCCAAAATATTTTCTCTAAAGCACTGGCTTGGCTTCAGACCTGCTGCCAGCAGGTCTAATCCCATTTACAGCAGCAGGTGTCAGCATGAGATCTTAATTTGCTCTTCTGTGTCCATAGCCTCCTGCCAAGGTCTTGTGTCTTTACATTGCTGTGTCTAACTTCTAAAAATCTTCATGATGTCTTTCTTAAGGGGCAAGTTTCTGATGCAGAGAATAGAGTAGCCATGGCAGGTAAATGCAAGGCTTTTGATGGTACCTGTAGATAGCAAGAGTGAAGTTGTGGGACCAAGATAGAGAAAGCAAAGGGACAGCGTGTTCTGCAAGAAGAGTTGGGAAGGCCACTGCAATATGGAAGGTGTATAGTTTGCTCAGTCCCATCTTTGAGCTTCTCCTGTGGGAACATATAGAAAGAAAAGTAGCAACTGTAACCGGAGTGCTGAGGGAATTGGCAGAGGTCATTGCGGGACCCCTGGCACAGCTTTACGAGCACTTGTGGTGCTCTGGTGAGGTGCCAGAGGACTGTAAAAGGGCCAATGTAGTCCCCATTTTCAAAAAAGGGAGGGAGGAGGACCCAGAAAACTACAGGCCCATTAGTCTTACCTTGGTCCGGGGGAAACTTTTTGAGAAAATTATCCAGGTGCACATCTGTGAGAGGCAAGCAGAGGAGTGTATGCTTAGGGGCAACTAACATGGGTTCATTAGAGGCAGGTCCTGCCAGACCAACCTGGTGGCCTTCTACGACCAGGTCACAAAAGCCTTGGACGCAGGTATCGCGGTGGACATAGTCTTTCTGGAATTTAGGAAGGCCTTCGACACAGTCTGTCACCCCATTCTCATTAAAAAATTAGGAGATTGTGGTGTTGATGTCTACACAGTCAAATGGGTCACAAATTGGCTGGAGGGACACACCCGGAGAGTGGTGGTGGACGGGTCATTTTCGACCAGGAGGGATGTGAGCAGTGGGGCCCCCCAGGTCTCGGTCCTTGGTCTCACACTATTCAACATCTTCATTAGTGACTTGGATGAGGGGGTGAAAAGCACCTTGTTCAAGTTCGCAGATGACACTAAGATGTGGGGAGAAGTGGGCATGCTAGAAGGGAGGGACAGGCTGCAATTGGATCTGGACAAGTTACACGGGTGGGCGGATGAGAATAAGATGGGATTCAATACTGACAAGTGCAGGGTACTGCACCTAGGGAGGAAGAACCATCAGCAGACCTACAGGCTGGGGAACTCCCTTCTTGTCAGCACAGAGGCAGAAAAGGATCTTGGAGTCGTTATAGACTCCAAGATGAACATGGCCGCCAATGTGGGGGCATGGTCAGGAAGGCTAACCGCACCTTGCAATGTACCCACAGATGCATCACGAGCAGGTCCAAGGAGGTGATCCTCCCCCTCTATAAGACATTGGTCAGGCCACAGTTGGAGTACTGTGTCCAGTTCTGGGTGCCGCACTTCAGGAGGGATGTGGACAATATTGAGAGCCTCCAGAGGAGGGCCACTCGCATGATATGGGGTCAGCAAGGCAGGCCCTACGAGGAGAGGCTAAGGGACCTGAACCTGTTCAGCCTCCACAAGAGAAGGCTGAGAGTGGATCTGGTGGCTGTCTATAAGCTGGCCAAGGGAGACCAGCAGGCAATGGGAGAGTCCCTGTTCCACCTAGCACTGCCAGGAGTAATGAGGAATAACAGCCCTAAGTTGATGGAGAGTAGATTCAGGCTAGATATCAGGAGGCACTCCTTCACAGTCAGGGCAGCTAGGATCTGGAACCAACTTCCAAGGGAAGTGGTGCTCGCTCCTACCCTGGGGGTCTTCAAAAGGAGGCTGAATCTTGCCAGGGTCATTTGACCCCAGCATTCTTTCCTGCCCGTGGCAGGGGGTTGGACTTGATGATCTGCTCAGGTCCTTTCCGACCCTACCAACTATGAAACTACAGGTTTTTCTTCCATAAGATGTCCTCCAGGCAGTGTGGGAAGGGAGTAGAGTAGCAGCCAGGAGACTGCCCCATTCTCCTCCATGGAACCAGAAGAAAGAAATAGGGAGGTGAGGTTTCCCTTCCCTTAATACTGAAGGGTAGTGCCTGGGTGCAGGATCAGAAGCTTCTCCCAAGAACCAGAAAGCAGTTCTTAGAAACATGGATTTGAGGAGGCTTCCTCTATCACAGGAGTCTTGATTAAATCTCTTCTTGAATCCAAAGAGGAATGGAAATGGGACCAAGAGACTTTTTCTATCACGGGACCTAAAGAGCCATAGGAGCAAGGCCTATGTCTTCCTCAGTCTCAGGACCTGAGAAGTTGCAAAATTAGGCTGATAGCACAGGTAACAGATTCATAAATTCTTCTTCTGGATGTGGTGTTTACTGCTCCTGAGAATAACAAGTAATCCGTTTTCCAAAAATGAATGACAAGAATGCATGTACCCTCTTAGCACAAGTACTTAGGTTCATTGGTTACTATTAGAAAGTCATTCTCCACATTCATTGCGCACACAACTTTTTATTTTCTAAGTATATATCACATGGCCCCAGCTAGAATAATGGTTGGGAATATTCTTTCTTCAGTGCTAAACAGCTTTTATGTAACTTATCTGCCTATTTTATGTAAAATAATTTAAAATAGAATGGCATGTGAGGGTTTGCAATGACCTGTGGGTGGTTCTTCCCTGCAGGACATCTCTGCCTTTAGTCAACCAGACTTTGGTGTTAACAAGGGTCTGGATCTTGCACCATTGAAATCAATGGGAGCTTTGCAGTTGACTTCACAGAGCACAGAACATGCTTCTCACAGTCGCTACATATGAACATGCCCATTTCCTCCACAGGAAGTGTTTTTTCACAGTCAGTCTGGTTAAGCATCCATGTGGCTGAGGCCACTTTCACTCAAGGATCCCAATAAAACTTTCACATTACTTACAGGACCTTTTCTTCTCCTCTTTTGTTGCTGTCCTACAAGATTTCTCTTGTCTCCTTTACTTCACTCCTTAGAACTCGATATTGTAGTAATGTCACTGGCCATTGGTAGACATGCTCACCATTTTCAAAACCATGTTAACTGATTTCACATCACATAGTTCAAATCAAATTTCAATTTGAATTAAGGGTTGATAGATGATCATTGACCCATCAGCCCCTTCACAGCCTCTGTGCATAGGCTTATGTACTTAGCACTTGTAGTTGGAAATAATTAGGAGGCAATAATAAGTCCTTTAAAGCACTGCTACATTGTTGCAAACCTATTGACAATTACCTAAAGTGCTGTTCAAGAAGCAGTAATGGGTTCAATTGGCCTGAGTGTTGATGACCATCTCGGCCAATGTGTTGTGGGCATGGGGGGATAGGGTTGGCCCTCTTCACAGACCAGTAGCCCATGTACTTGGGCAGGGCTGGGGGCTTTCTTAGTCAGGATAATGATATTTAGTCATGGTGAGGTGGTGTTGGCACATTTGTCTTTGCAAAGGTGTTTGCACGGGTTTGTTGCGGGTAGGTCTTGCTTGACTAATCTCATTTCCTTCTACGACCAGGTGACCTATCACCTGGACAAGGGAGAAGAGATTGATGTCATATATCTTGACTTCAAAAAAGCCTTCGATCTGGTGTCCCATGATCGCCTCTTGGAGAAACTGGCCAATTGTTGCCTTGGGTCCTCCACGATCCACTGCCTGGAAAATGGGCTCCAGGGTCGGACCCAGAGGGTAGTAATCGATGGAAGTCACTCATCATGGTGTCCTGTGACCAGTGGGGTCCCCCAAGGCTCTGTCCTTGGACCCATACTGTTCAACATCTTCATTAATCATGTGGACACTGGAGTCAGAAGCGGACTGGCCAAGTTCGCCGATGACACCAAACTTTGGGGCAAAGCATCCAAACCAGAAGACCTGAGCCATAGTATTAGCTCAACATTCTTGTGTGCTGTATATTTGGAAATGATCCTGTGAAGTGAAGTGAAGCCCCCAAAACTAAGCCTATAACTTCTAGGCTTTGGTTTCAAAAGGGCAAACATTCTCTCAAGCAAATCCCGGGACGTCATTCTCCCCCTGTACTCGGCCTTAGTGAGGCCGCAGCTGGAGTACTGTGTCCAATTTTGGGCTCCACAATTCAAAAAGGATGTGGAGAAGCTTGAGAGAGTCCAGAGAAGAGCCACGCGCATGATCAGAGGTCAGGGAAGCAGACCCTACGATGACAGGCTGAGAGCCCTGGGGCTCTTTAGCCTGAAAAAGCGCAGGCTCAGGGGTGATCTGATGGCCACCTACAAGTTTATCAGGGGTGACCACCAGCATCTGGGGGAACGTTTGTTCACTAGAGCGCCCCAAGGGATGACGAGGTCGAATGGTCACAAACTACTTCAAGATCGTTTCAGGCTGGACATAAGGAAGAACTTCTTTACTGTCCGAGCCCCCAAGGTCTGGAACAGCCTGCCACCGGAGGTGGTTCAAGCGCCTTCATTGAACACCTTCAAGATGAAACTGGATGCTTATCTTGCTGGGATCCTATGACCCCAGCTGACTTCCTGCCCTTTGGGCGAGGGGCTGGACTCAATGATCTTCCGAGGTCCCTTCCAGCCCTGATGTCTATGAAATCTATGAAATGTCATGCCTGGTAACTTCTGTTGTGTTGCAAAAACCCAATTTAGTTTTCCTTGCAAGGATTGATATTTGCAATGCTATCTGCCAAGTTCTTAAGGGCTGTTTTTCCTAAAAGCAACACTGTATATACAAGTTAATTAATACAATTTAAATTGCCTAGTTCAGACTGCCCTAGCCTGCAGTAACTTTAATCATTCAATGAGCATTAGTTAATTTGGACTACAGGCATCCATGTGCATATAATGATGGCTGTAGTCCAGATTAAACCTCAAAACAATGAAACATCTATAAACAATTGCAATGACCAAACAGGGCTAGATGTGGTTGCCACCCAGTGCTGCTCTAGGATTGGATGCAGAAGACCAGCCCCTGTTTGAGAAACACTAGTCTAAATATTAACCCAATATTGAAAGCAGCAGGAGTGCACAGAAGACTGTCCTGTATTAACATTTATGCACAAGCTTACACATTAACAAGCTCTGACACTGTCAGTAAACTGCATTTTGGAAAACAAAGCCTAAACAGGCTCTTTCTTTAACTATTTTTAGGGCAATCTTTTCATGGGGATAACAAAAATGCCATGAAAAGGAAAACACTAAGCAAGAACAAACTAAACAAAATAATCCACTCGCTCAGATATAATTGTAAGAAAAAACTGACATGACATGAAAAATGCGTGTAAAATGATACACGGTAATATGCGTAGATAACTTGTTCACTCCAATAGAGCGGGTGCACATCTACGGATGTGGGTTTTCAGTAACAATGCAAATAGTTGTATTAAGGATAGCAACCGGCAGGGGGCACTGTTGTAAAGATCTTTGCAATGACAGAAGTCAGAAATAATACAATATTCCCTGACACCTGCAGTGCTATTCCCTCCGTTCATTATGTTTAGGAGTTTATCTTGATACATGATGAGATCCTGATGCTGCCTGGCTCCCTTCCTCAGGATGATCACTCCCAA